TGTCCTCCACTTGGTAGTATTTCACTTTTCTTTGGACAAATAGAATTTCACATTCTAAACAGTGAATCTAATCCTCACTTTTTCCCAATTCCAAGAGATAAATCTTGTAGAGGGTGTGTCCGATAGAATATAGAACACTTAAGCTGGTGATAATTGTTTAAGGTCAATTACATGGGTCTTAATCATTATCATCATAGTGATTTCCATTTTACACTATTTAGATTAATTACTGGCTTTTACTATACAGTAATTAAATTATGTTTGGTTACACTTTTTTATCTTATAATCACAATTGCCCGATCTCGAATGTAGCATCTACATCTTATAACTATTTTAGCTAATCTCAAATGCTATATTTGTTTTTAAATTTTTCACTTTGTTTAATATGAATTGAAAGAAAACCTCGCTCAGTTGAATAAAAAACAAGAAAGTTGTTATTTTTCTTTTAAAGTTAGTTTAGAAAGTTAATTTATTTAACTCAACTAACTATAAAATGAAACCGAAATCCTTTAGTTGGATGAATTCTCAAAGATTGCCATCGTATGGCTTGCTACTTGAAAATAATTTTACATTGCTAATGATAGAATGGCAGCACTGTATTCCTTGTAATGAATCCATTGCACTATGCAGTACCCTGCTTTATAATGATGGGTAGTGATTGTGAAGTTCATGTCACTAATTTGGCAGTGCATGTTACTTATGGTCATCATAAGAGAGCATGTGAGTTTATGATGAAAGAAGCATGTATACATGGGTGTAAACAAATACTACTCACAACATCAACATCACCGAAAGGTACCACGGCCGAAATGGTGGGTCACAGACATCCATGCAAGCTAGTAGAAAATTTGGAAAGACAAGGGAAAATAATAGGAAATCTTTCTATTTATGATATATTAAAACTAAAATGTAATTTCTAAAACCTCATACTTAAATATTACTCAACATAATCTTTATATAATGTTGAACTTCAATTTCATTCATACTTTCACTTCAACATATTTATCTTTATATAATGTAGAACTCTACACATATATCCATCATATAGCCTATTGAAAAAATTCAAAGGGAAATTATTACCTGCAATGTCATCTAACGTTTTTCTAACATTCTTAAAAAATTCGGTCAATTTTCTCATTCATAGTAATTTTAAAACTCGAGTGAAATTGGATAATACCACATACTTTGGATCAAAATTCTAAAACTTTGTTAGTCCTTTAGGCTGCTGAAATCAGCAATATAGCTTTTTGAATGAAAAATAATTTCACCACGTTTTGGAGTTGTCTTTCGTTCTATCTTCTACTCTCATTAGCTTAGAGATTGAAATTTCGCACCACACAGTGAACAGTAGGAAATAATTGCACTTCAAATGACTTTGCCTTCACCTTCTTTCAGTCTGATCTGTGACAATCGGTTTGACCACGATCGAGTCTCCACCGAAAGGTACTATATCTACGTCTAAAATACTGCAGCTGTTTTCAACTCTGACCTATGTGACATTAGAAGAAAACAAAATCAATAGAACTAAAAAGAACTTGCGCAGTTTGTGCATATTATATCTAAAAGTATTCCATTTTGTTAAGTATTCAAAAGTGATAAATTTTTACTAGAAAAAGCATTTGCTATATTTTATATGTATATATAGTAAATGTTTTATGTTTTTTTTATCTCTTAATTAATATTAAAATCATTTTTTTTTACGCCGAAAAAATGATTTTAAGCCATTAGAAGTGATAAGTTTATTAATTAAGAGATAAAAAACAGAAAACATACATTTACTATATGATTTTTAAACTCAATTTTAAAAACCACTATATTAACATTTGGACAAAAATCTTTACTGTTACCTTAAATTATTAAGCAGTGATTTGGATGCTAAATCTCTAGCCTAGTAATCTTTACCTTTTAATAGTGGAATATGAGACAACCCCACACTCTCCCTCACTCTTAATTTGATCTCACCTTCTCATGTTTATTTTATTTTTGTTTTCCACTAAGCTCACAGTATAAATAGGGACTAAACTCAATCCAATATGCACCATCACAGAAGCAATCAACACATTCCTCTCATTCTCACTCAAAACAAAACACAAAACCCTAGCCATCCTAATTGAGGTGAAAATGAAGGCATCACACATTGCTTTGTGTACTTTGGTGGTGCTGCTTGTGGCTCAAGTTCAAGTGTCAATGGCAGTAACATGCAGCCCAGTACAGTTGAGTTCATGTGTGAGTGCAATAACCTCTTCAACCCCTCCATCAAACCTGTGCTGCTCCAAGATCAAGGAACAGAAACCATGCCTTTGCCAATACCTCAAGAACCCTAATCTCAAGAAGTTTGTTGACTCCCCCAATGCAAGGAGAGTTGCTAGAACATGTGGAACTCCCTTTCCAAGGTGCTAAGAGGTTTTATATATGTGCTTGATTATGAATCTTGATCCAAGTGTTCTGAGACTAGAAAGTGACAAATTATGTGTTATATCATATATGGTGTGGTTGAAAGTCTATGTTTTAATGTTAGTAAAAGTGTACTAGTCCTAATGGATATGTGATGCTTTGGTTTCATGTCATTCCATTTCAGTTCCTTGGTGTGGTCTCATCTTACTTAAAGTTAGTTGTTGTAAAAGCCTGTATTTATAATTTAAAGAAGTATCAGATCATGTTTTTCCTTCTTAATTCTCTCTCTCTCTCTCTCGCACTCGATTTATAATTGTACTCACTTTGGAATGGAGTTATCTGAGTGATTGACACTACTTATGAGAAAGGCATTTGACATAAAATGTAGCAAAGCTATAGAGAGCTAACACAGAAAGCAGATAACAAAAATGTATTTTTGTTGCATCATTCTACAGTACGTAGCCTTAATTATGGGAGTATCCATAATTGTGGAATTTGGAAATGCTATAAGGTCAGAGATCTGTCTAGTATTTACACACTTTTGTCTCATTGTTCCTTTTTATAATTTATCATTCGTCTCGTGAGCACACTTGTATGTGTAAATGTTCCCTTATTATTACAAAAGGAAAAGGAAAATGCTAACCAGTACCTCTAAAAGTACTCATTAAAAAATTTAAGTGATTTTTTTATTATTGATTTATATATATATATATATATATATATATATATATAAAAGGAGGAATTTATTTACTTCAAAAGAAAGTTTAGTTAGATATACTTCACTTAATAACTCATGTTTTACATCAAATTTTAACAATCAAACCATTGAATTAAAAATTCTCGATGCATATAACAAGTTTGTAAATTTTTTTTAAAAATTGAAAATTATTTTGATATCCTGTTTTATTAATTCAAATTAACGAATAATCATAAAAGTATTTTATATATTGATTTGATTCATATAATAAAGTATCATGTGTTTTTTAATTTGTAGACTTGATTTATGTATTAAGAACTTTTTATTTAACTGTTAGATTATTAAAATTTGATATAGAATATGAGTTATTAAGTGAAATTAGATTAAGTAGACTTACTTTTAAAGTAAGTAAATCCATCATCTCTATATATATACATAGTTAGAAACTTTAATAAGAGAGTATGTGTATTTTATATGAAAAGGATTTTTTTTTCTGCAAAAGTTAGTGATTGGTAGCCACTTAATAAAGTTGAAGCCTTGCTCATTTAAGTGTAGTAATATTAAAATTAAAATCTATTTATTTATAATTATATTATTATATTATTTACTATTTGATTATTTATAATATTTACTATTATATTTTAAAAGTTGAAGCCTTGCTAGTATTTTTTGCAAGCTAATTGACCACATCAAAAATATAATTATAGATTAAAACCCGCTGTTGGTGAGTTTAAGAGATACGGGTCAAACATTATATGGCTATCTACATTGTTCTGCTTTAACGGTGGAACAGATACCAATTTTGCTAGTAAAATCATCTAATCCACGTCTCCACAAAATAAAACCCCACAAGTTGGCGTGATTCTCAGGACTAATGACACAGCCATTTACATTCATCCATGCTAGTATAGTCGCAATAACCACACCGAAAACTATTATTTTTTTTCTTCAAAAGGGGGCTAATACCAACATTTCCAATTGGGTTGATGCTTTTGGACTTTGAGAAACACAATTCAAATATAGATTTCTAGAGCACCATGAAAGGTGGGTATATGAGTTCAAGTCCGCAGGCCGACCCGCGAAGCTCGCGACCCACACAGTTAACGGGTTTATTTTTTTAAAAATTTTACATAATTATAGAAGAAATTAAGTTCAATTTGCGAAAGCTTGCAAAGTTCACGGGCTTTACCTGCGAATAACCCATTTAAGATAGATATATATTTTTTTTTAATTTATGAAAAATTTTAAATAATGAGTGATTTTAGTATTTTGTTAATAAATAACTATTGAATTTAATATATTTAATATTTAAAGTATATTACACTTTTACTAACTTAATATGTTTTAGATTAAATGTATAAATTTTAGACGTTAATATTTTAATGTTTTAGCTTAAATATGTAAATCTTTGTATGTTAAAATTTTTATAATTTTTTTTATTTTAGATTATTTGATATTTATATTTTAATATATATTTTTTATATATTTCCCCTATATATTCTTGGCATAATTTTTTTTTTATTAAACCCACGGGCTTACCCATTTAATCACAGGTTTCACAGAGCGGATGTGAGCCTTTAAAAAAAAATTAATTATTTTACAAACTAAACTTATCCGACTAGTTAAAAATACAAGCTTTGTAGGTTAGGCCTTAAACGGGCCGGACTAGCCCATATACCCACCCCTAATTATGCTCGTCAACATTTTTTATCAGCAGGGCTTTAACCTAAGCTGGAAGAATTGGGCCCAATCTACCCAATTAAGCACATCTCTTTCTTTCAATGGGCTAGTTGTAATTCATATCCATATTTGAGTGTGGTTATCGCAAAAAGTTGTAATCCATATTCATATATTATAACACAAATCGCACTACACATTAACAAAAATTCTTCTTTCATATATTAATGGGAATCCAATGAATTGGATTAGTTTATTGGGAAAAAAAATATTGTCCAAAACAATAATTGTGAATTGAGAAATGTGCCAAAATTAATTAGCATGTACAAGATAATGGTGTACTTAATTTACAAACATAAAATTTATTACAAATTAAGAAAGTTCGATATGGGGTTCCAGCCCATTAACCATGGCCTCTTATCAGAAGGAAGTACAAAGTTCAGCTCAAACATCTCCTTTGACATGTTGCCTCCTGTCTGGAAACCAACAAGCTTTGCAACAATTTCTGCACTCTCCTGCACATGGTTTTGGTCATGAGGATCAGTCCAAAGCTTGCTGATAAATTGCAACCTCCTCTGCTTCCCATCAAGAGGGACATCCCATTTCATATATAACATCTCCCTCTCCTCCAGTGACAAACGTGATGTAAGTCTCTTGGCCAGAAATTCCCTTTCTCTTTTCAAAGCTCTCAAACTGCATATTATAAAATATATATTCAATGCAAAATTTTCATTATGGTGTATAACTGCATATTGTAAAATAAGAGAAGGAACTATATTATATCAAAGAGAGGGAACCTTGATGACAGTGAGATAGCAGGCTCTTCTCCAACATGAGGAGCCGGGCTTGCATTCCCAAGTTCTGCTAGGTGTTCTTGCAACCATGTCAATCTCCTTAGTTCTACTTCCATGTATATTTGATCAGCTGGGTCTCCCTTGAATAACAAATAAAACTGGGTCCTGTGAATAATGGAGACATAACATAGATCCCACAATTCAAGGATCTGCTGCCGCTGCTCTTTAAATGTTATTTGCCATGAAACCTGGGGTTCCTCTGGTTCACATGGGTACTCTTCGTTGTCTATGTTGTGGCCATTTGCTTCGTTTGCTTCAAGTTCAAGCACCTAGATATATCAAAATAAAAGGATATGAGTCAACCTAATGGAAATACATTAAAATGAAGAACTTGCAATGGCAATGAAAGTAGGAAGATTCTTTCAATGGCAATGTAAAAATATGATATACCTGGCAAACAAGTAACTGCTTTTGGTACTGCAGTTTGGCCACACGTTCTTTCAATTCTGTGACGTATGCTCTTATACTTCTTACATTCTCCTCTGCTGCATTCTGAAACATTTTCTGCATTTTCTTCATGTTAACTGAACTAGAGCGTCGATAACCTGAAGGATTTTCCTTCGATGAAACATCTCCAGTTTCTTCACTCTTTGATGGAGTCTCCTTCTCGGACTCAGGCAGAGTATCAATTGAAACGAGATCATCATTCTCAGGGGCTATATTTTCAATATCAGATTCCAAAACTTGTTGCGTAGTAGATAAAGGTGAGCAGGGAGATCTTAGGAAGTTTGGGCGATTGGTGATATTGCTTGAAGACAAAGGAAGCAACTTTTTCCTTTTGTGTTCCTTTTTATTCTTAGGGGATGCTTCACTGGGTGAATGTTGAAAGTTGTTCGGGAGAGACATCACCAACTTGTCTATGGACCTTTGAACATTTTCAAGCTGCTGTTCAAGATTTGCAATGGTGCTGCCTTGTGAATGAAGTCGGGTAATCTCGTCCTTGAGATTGGCACTGACACTCTTGTTGACAGAAACCATGCTTCCAACTTCAACATCCTTGGGTGTTGACCTAACAGAACGCATTTCCCTTATTTCTGCTTGCAACTTTGCAATTGTCTCAGCTGCATCTTGGTTACCTAGTCTATGACATGCCACTTCCTTTTGTAATACTTCCAAAGCTCTATTGGCTTCTTCACCCAGCTGCTCTTGGAGGTGCTCAAGTTTGCGAATTTCATGCATAAGGGTAAAAGGAGCAGTAGAAGATTGCCTAATGGACTGTCTTAATGTTGAGCTTCTTACTCTCTCACATCCTAGCTCTGGTTTTAGCGATGATAGTGCACCAGTGAATGACAGGCACTTTTTGACCGGCAGATGTGGTGATTCAACTGGGTTTGAGACCTGAAGTGCAAAAGGATCTTAAAGTAAGTTGAAATGAAATGAATCATGACAGAGAGAGAGGGAGAAGTAGGACTTATGAGGAAAGAAAGGGACCTTTTGGTCATCCTGAAGCTTTCTGCGTAACTCATCCACCTGAATTTGTGCAAGATCTCTCTGGCGTTTTAGCTCTTCGATTTCCATTTCCATCTGGACAAATTCGGGTAACAATGTTCAGTACAATGGAATCATACTTGGTTCCCGTGATCCTTTTTTTATTCTTTTTCAAATTACCTGTTGAATCTTCCAATCCTTTTCTTTAGATGGATCAGGAGTGCGCAACACTGCCTCCAGCCTTGCAACTTCCTTTTGTAAATGTTTAACGAGCTGCTTGTCTGATACAACCTATTGAAAAGAAGACAGTCAAATTTTCTTCGGCTAATTTGGGGAAAAAAATCATCAGTTAACTGTGAACCAATAGTTACCACGTTAACTTGAGCGTTATTTGTTACTTCCTTTGCCCGGGTAGCAAACAAGAGAGTGTTTCGTGATTGCTCTACATGGCTCAGTGCTGGACTCAAAGTACAAACAATGGCAGTGCGTGCATTCCCACCAAGGGAATGTTGCAAAATACGTGTGAGCTTTGAATCTCTGTAAGGTATATGACCACTTCTTTTTCCAACACTGCATATGATGATATGAAAACAACAAGTTAGAAGGTGAAATTTGAAGTAGTACTCAATTATAATGGTACTACTAGGTGGTATTTGCTATTCTAACGACCCAATCAACTTTCTGTAAACAACAAGCAGCCTGACCTCAGCTTCCTGATAACAGTTGTAAGAGTCATCAAGCTAAGGTTAATATGACAGCCTTCTTTCAGCCTAGTGCCATCTGCATGTGTCTGTGCAGCCCTCTCACTTCCAGCTAGATCGACAAAGTTCTGTAATCATTGACATGAGTTACTCAACAATAACTAATCTATCCTTTCAAAAGCGGATAAGTGGGAAACATCGATTACCAAGGTTGCGACAAAAGATTTCACACAATCTGCATTTTCACGAAGAGTGCTTTGAATTGTCTGCAATATACAGCAAAAGGAAGATTTTTTTTTTTCCACATTAATTATGCGAGGGAAAGGAAAATAGGATGGCATTCTGAGTTCCAACAAATAATTCTACTATTATCACTGACCAGTCTTATTATCTGGTGAGACCGCGAACTGTTATCATTTAGAGCAGTTTCACCAACCTGCCTTTGAGCTGCCAAATAAATGAACTTCAATCTATTAAACTGTTGAGTAAGGAAACAAATATATTACCTCATGCAACCCAAGAAAGTTCCCTACCTTCACAAATGGAGATCAAATGTCTTAAATGTTGATCATCTTTCGCTGTTTCTTCTACTAATTTCTCAACCACAGTACCTTTCTACAATATATGAAGGAGATATCATATTATACACAAATTCCAAATTCCGGAAAGGTATGTTACCCAGTGGCTAGCTCATTAAAATAACTACATAAAAAGATTGTCAAGGATGATGCAGGATATTAAATTATGAACTTCCAAATTCAGGACAAGGAAGCAACTAAATTGCATGCTAGTTAATTTGAAAATTGGGTAATTTGGATATTACCTCGGGATCATCAAGAAGCTTCAAACTGCGACCAGATTCTGAATTTAACAAGTCCCTTACATTCTCATTGTATATTTCTAGTCCAGAAATTCTTATAGTGAAATCTCTTTCGGGAGTCTGTAATGATGCCAATTGAAAGATTAGTCGCAAATCGCAATTTAACGACCTTCAAACTCTGTCTTATAATATAATGTATACATTAGAATTAAAATTAGACAGAATAGTGCCTTCATCTAGCAATACAATACAGGATATAACCTACATGATAGTTTTGGAAAAACTTACATTCATAATATGCTCGTAAATATCATTCACAGCCTTCTCAGTTATTCCTCTCATTGTGTATGTCTTTCCACTGCTAGTTTGTCCATAAGCAAAAACTGTAGCTGCAATAATTAAGCATGCAATGGTTATACTTATGTTATGTAATGCAGAGAGTCATTAACAGAGGCACAAATCATAAGGGAGGTTAAAACAAAGAAATATCTGAAACGGTACCATTAATGCCTGTTAATGCAGATAATGCGACTTTCTTTACTCCTTCTTCATACACCGCCTCAGTCAAGGAGGCAGGACCAAAAACTTTATCTGCAGGGATAAAAGCTATGTCAACAAATATTGAAAAATTGGGTGACACTAAATTAATAAAAGGATAAAGGAACTACGAAACTGATGAGTAAGAAACAACTGAAAAGTAAATCACGGTGAACAGCTCATTTGATACCAAAAGTAAATGATGCTGGTTGAGAAGCACGATCATGTGTCGGTGGTTTATACACGATAGTATAATCATTGATGCAGTCCCATGCAACCTGATCTTTCGCCAATTGCTCCCTTCTGTTCAAAGGCCTTAGCCTAACTGTGACCACAATCTTCTCTTCCCTAGCTCTTGCCCCTCCCGGGGTTGATACCGGTGTCCTATCTATCTTCGATGCTGGTGTTCCAGGTGTTTTCATGGTCATCTTCTAAAAAATCATCAAGAAAAAAAATGGAAATAAATTTCAGTTCTTTAAATAACTACTGTTCCCGATTATGTTCAGCACTGAACTACTGAAGTGATGATAGATCAAAAGAAATTTCCCCGAATGTGAAACAAATCGTGCTTAAATAAAATACCAAATACAATGTTTCAACTAAAAGAAACAATCGGTGAAGATTTTATTGAAAATAAAATGAAATTAACAAATTCAAATGCATTTACGCTATGATGTTGTATAGATTCGCTAGAGAATAGTAAAATGCGAGGGATCAGGATCGGGAAAAAAAATGGAATGAAATTTAATTTTAACACACTAAACTCAAGAAAAGGAAAGATTATCTGTTGATTCAAAATCGACGCTGATTTCATGCATTAAACTGGGGAAAACCTTAAAACAAGTAGAAAAATAAGGAAGCACATTAATGGAGTAAAAAAAAATCCTCAAATGGAAAGTTATGAACAGATCAGGAGAAATTAAAAGGAAATGGAAGCATAAACTCACATCAACTTAGTTGAGTAATTTGCTCAACTCAGATTCAGTGGAAGAAAGAAGAGCCCGCGTGGAAGCTGAAAGTTAGGGTTTGATGCGCAATCTCAGTGTGTGTGGAGATTGTGATTATTGAAATGAATGAAAGAAGCATTGGTGTGTGTGTGCGACGCTACCATTTCATTTGAATTTGGGGAAACTCTTCTAACGGCTAGTTTTCGTTTTCGTTTTCGTTTTTTTTTTTTTTTTTTTTTTTTTTTTTTTTTTTTTTTTTTTTTATTTTTTT